TCTCTTTGTCTATTTACTGTAAATACAATACAGAGGAATCGGATCACAGTGGACTTTTCACAGAATTTCACAGGTCTTTACCTCATTGGGATCTGGTGAGTCTCTCTTCAGTTCTCCCGCCATCACTAACACACTTTCAGAGCCTGCAGTTTAAAGTTATAGTGGAACTGCTTAGACAGCTGCTCCCTGGCCAGCTTGTACAGCACCGTCATCTTCTTGGCCAGAATCTGCATTCAAAGGAAGATCACTAACTGGGTAAAGTGACTGTCTAACAATGTCAGATACAACATTTGCGTTCAAAGCCTCCTGAGTCAATGTCACCAACAGTCCTTAGGGAAAACAGTCCTTAAAACTGTTATTACCTTCCATAAGTACATCACCAATGTTCTGTAGCAATTGTTTCTAGCTACTTACTCAAATTGCAATGTTTTTTTAACAGCCTCTCCCGATCCAGAACTGTCCAGGCAGTCTCCAGGCATCAAAGAGATGACTGTGTGCTATAATAACCCACATGGAACCACTTCGAGGTGCAGGATGAGAGCGTTGCGGATGGTCTGGATCTGGGAGGAGATGACAGACAGCACAGAGTCATCGATGCGGTTGAACTCATCAAAGCAGCCCCAGGCAACACACTAGGCCAGGCCAGACAAGATCTTCCCCACAGCCTGGACACAGAGGGGGAAGAAGAGGAGAGGAGAAACATGATAAATGATTACAGTAAATAAAGAAACCATTAATATGGACTACAATTGGCATTATAACCATACCTGCAACAGCGCTAATAATGATAAGAGCATATTATGCATTTTTAAAATAATAATTATAGAGAAAATAAAGCTTTATTTTTGTTGTGAGGGGCCTCACCATGTAGTCCATGCCCTCTCCACAGTTGGTGACCACACACAGCAGGCCCGGAGCCTTGGCCAGGTCCTTGGTGGACTGTCTTCCCTGTTCCAGCCAGCCCCGCGGGGGCTCTACCCAGGTACATGGACAGGGCCTGAGGCAAGCCCAAACACAGTGGTAGCTAAGTTAGACAAAATCTTTGTTGAGGTTCAGGTATTGTACCTGTGTGAGGGTGAGGTATTTGCAGTCAGTCAGCTGGGTGATGACCAGATGACCATTCAGCCCCATATATTCATAACCATAGGAGAAAGCTGGTGCACAAACAGAGCATGCAGACATTGACTCCCAGGCAATGCGTTCCATGAAGGGGGCCATGCGTTCGTCCTTGTTGTAGTGGCTGGAGATGATCCACACCATAAGCAGGCAGTTCATCATCAGAGGGATGGTGTCCAGAATCACAGCAAAGTCTGCCCTGGTGGCCAGGTTCTGGAACACACAACACAAATGCTTTTCTGGTGTATTTGGAGACTTTTGGAGACTCTGACGTGAAAGCACGTATCGTTCTTACTCTTCTCAATGAGCAGCGGGTCCTGCCGTGGCCCCCCCGCCCCTCCCCCGTGGGCTCCACCCCCGTGGGCCCCACCCTCATCCCAAAGCACTCACAGGCGGCCCAGTTGTCGCGCAGCAGTCCCTCTCAGCTGCAGTCAGAGCAGGAGATGTAAACCCCTCCGCGTCCAGACTGCAAATGAATCGCGCATGCGGGAAGCCGCCGCTGGCTGATCCCGCCCTGGCTTACATTCAGGGCTGGATGTAAATGTAGGGTGTTTTTTACTCACTTTTTGTCTCTCCGACGACATTATTCCATAATTTGATGAGCATGAAAACAATGTAAACCATATGCCATAGCTGTCTCAGTCACCAGATTGAACACCTATGGGAGATTCTGGAGCTGCACCTGAGACAGCGTTTTCCACCACCATCATCAACAAAACACCAAATGATGGAATTTCTCATGGAAGAATGGTGTCGCATTACTCCAATAGAGTTCCAGACACTCGTAGAATCTATGCCAATTGAAGCAGTTCTAGCTCGTGGTGGCCTAACGCGCTATTAAGACACTTTATGTTGGAGTTTCCTTTATTTTGGCAGTTAACTGTATGTGAGGCTAGAGCAAAACATATAGGCCTAACATACCCATCAGATTGTGCAGGAATGAGATGAGGATTGGGTAGCAGTATTCCATCTCATCCTTGTTGCCTGGACCGAATGCAGCCTTAAAAGCCTTCTTCTCCAGGAGCTCAAGAACCGAGCCTCTGTCCAGGTGTTTATTACTCAAGCCTAAAGACGTGCGTGCCATACCGAAAAAAACAAGAGAAATCAAACGCTTCATCTCTTAATACTATACTCTATTTGAATAAAACTATCCATGCAACCTTTCTTACTTATTCCAGTTTGACTCGTTAGACTCTAGTTTCTAACAACCAGCACATCACAGATATGCCTAGAGAACCAACATACTAGAGGTAAATCTCTGACCTGTATTTGTATCAGTGCCCTGCTCCCCTGGCTTCTTGGCACTACTTTCCTCTTTGCCTTGGATAGTATAGAACAGATTCCGGATCACAAATAATGGACATTACATTAGGTCAATACAACTAGTGACAATTGAGTGTTACTAGTCTAGTAGTTGCCCTGTCACTCCTGACATCTTACTCCTTAGCACCCTCAAAAAGCATGTCCTTGTCTGTGTTGGCTAAATTCAAGTTGAGTTATGATTTAAAACAATTTTTGCTTTCAAAAACAGTGTGCGTGTCCCAATTTAGTCAGGTACGCAATGGAATGCTAGGCCTCTATACTTTTTCAATCAAATCATCTGCTTTATTCACAAGTGACATGTGACATTTTGAGATGTTCACCATTATAAGAACTAATTCAGCAAAGCAAAAACAGAGGAATGTATGGATACCACTAAGTATGGACTTTTTAATGACGCAAATAAAAGTAATCAAATAGTTACATTATTCTTTAAAATAAATACGATTTAGACCAGGAACAGACATTTACAGCAACCCTTCAACAAACCACACACATTGTGTTATCAAGGATTAGATGACAATAAGTTAATTACATACTACACCTCCTAAAAATTAGTGGTGATCATAGTTGTAGAAAAGTTTTCCTAGCCACTATTTTGACATTTCCTAGTCTCAACTTCAGAGCAGCATTTCCCATAGAATCCTGCTTTAGGAGCATATTTAAGCATCAATAACATACATCTCATTGAGGTTTGATAACACAGCAAGTCCGTTTACAATGAAATGGTGCAAGCTCCCCTTAAAGTTCTGTTACATGGTAATCACAATTCAATCAATTAGCTCCTCTTCGTAGGGTTTAATACCATTGACAAATCCTATATATATATATATATATATATATATATATATATATATATAAAAAATCCAATAAAAAAAATTCTACCCCTTTTCTTATTTTTTTCCCCCCATCTTCAAGGTACAATGCCATTACCCAACAGCATAAACTACATTCCCCTGCTATGGTGCTACAGGATGGGAATATAGGAAAAGGCTTCAGCGAGAATTGTTCGCTGCACTGGTCCAGTACCTGCTTTTCTTGCCTTATTCCTAATCAGGGATTGGTGGTGTCATTACATGGCTCTAGACCAGCAGCACTATCTCTGTGAAAGGATGTATACGTTACATTTCCATCCATGGAATGTGCCGTTTTAAGAGTAGTCTCCCACAAAGTGATGGAGGCATAGGCAACATGTGTTAGGACATTTCGTTAGCATTCAGCACAACAGTATGCATTCATTCAAGAGAAAATTGATGTACCACTATGGTTTTTAAGCCTGTCGCAGTATTTCAAATGCTTATTTCTCATTCAAACTTTATTACTATAAAATAAAATGTACATCTCTCTCCCACATTCATCCAAAGATACTTTTAATTTACAAACAAGACTGAAGGAAGATTTTCCTTGCAAAGTTTTGGTAACCCAGAATATTATTACATTGAAAATAGAGCATGATATGTTGACATTTGTTTGTATGTATGTATGTATGTATTAAGGCAGTCAGTACAACAAATAGTAGAAAAACCTCCACTATGAAATTGAACTGTACATCGATGAGGCTCAATAGCAGTCAGGGTACCAATTATTTTGTGCCATCATACACTACCGGTCAAAAGTTTTAGAACACCTACTCATTCAATGGTTTTTCTTTATTTTTACTATTTTCTACATTGTAGAATACTAGTGAAGACATCAAAACTATGAAATAACATATATGGAATCATGTAGTAACCAAGAAAGTGTTAAACAAATCAAAAAATATTTTATATTTGAGATTCTTCAAATAGCCGCCCTTTGCCTTGATGACAGCTTTGCACACTCTTGGCATTCCTCAACCAGCTTCATGAGGTAGTCACTTGGAATGCATTTCGATTAACAGGTATGCCTTCTTAAAAGTTAATTTGTGGAATTTCTTTCCTTCTTAATGCGTTTGAACCAATCAGTTGTGTTGTGACAAGGTAGGAGGTATATACTGAATATAGCCCTATTTGGTAAAAGACTGAGTCCATATTATGGCAAGAACAGCTCAAATAAGCAAAGAGAAACGACAGTCCATCATTACTTTAAGACATGAAGGTCAGTCAATACGGAACATTTCAATAACTTTTTGACGTTTCTTCAAGCGCAGTGGCAAAAACCAAGCGCTATGATGAAACTGGCTCTCATGAGGACCGCCACATGAATGGAAGACCCAAGTTCATTAGAGTTACCAGCCTCAGAAATGGCAGCCCAAACAATTTTTTTTATTTGTTTAACACTTTCTTGGTTACTACATGATTCCATGTGTTATTTCATAGATTTAATGTCTTCACTATTATTCTACAATGTAGAAAATAGTACAAATAAAGAAAAACCCTTGAATGAGTAGGTGTTCTAAAACTTTTGACCGGTAGTGTATGTCGCGGGCAGAGAAGGCCAGCTACTTGTAGATGATCATGTTTGGCATGAAAAGGAGTGGCATGATGGCACAAAGAGACTGGTACGCAGGCTAGCTCAATAGCACAGGATCCTGCTGGTACATTGTGGCAGTTTGCCTCTGGGAGTGCGGGAGCATTGTGTCCCATTCACAGCAAGCCATCATGCTCAAAGCTGGAGGGCAGGAGGGAGAAGGCAAAGGGAACAAACTTGATTCCAGTCCCACTGTAGAACTTATTTTGGAACTCCACCCTGTGGAGACAGAACAGAGATCACGGAATATAGAGTAAGCATTAACCAAAGCATTATAAAGGCGTGATATGTTGCATTTTTACACAGATTTCCTGTCCTTCACTCTGTCAATTCTGCAAGTCTAGTAAGTAACCAACCAGTGCAGCCTGAGAGCATGAAGGAAGGCAGACAGTCCCTCCATAACCAGGAGGATAGACACAGTGAGCACGGCGAATATCCCAAACACTGGCACCAGAAACATGATGCCCAGACTGGTGTCCATCCGCAGGCCCACCCGCATCACCATGGACCACAGCACCTCCGACAGCTCTGGGGGAGCAAGGACAAACAAACACAGTCACATCTCACAGTCTCTGATTCATTTAATTCATAATTAAAAAGAAGGCTTCTCCAGTCAGAGACAACATTACAAAGATTTATTTTAAAAAACAGAAGTTAAAACACAATTAAACCTAAAGGCTTATTTCCAATGTGGTCCTCTCTCACAATAAAATAAACTTTAAACGCTCATCCATCAGAAATATTTTTTTGTTTATGTGTGGTGTGGTGATACTCACGGGCATGTGCCAGACTCAGAGCCCAGAGGCGCAGGTAGGAGGCTGTGTTGGAGATGCAGCCCAGGCAGTACTCTATGGTGTGAATAGACTGGTGCAGGAAAACATCCCCAAAGTCAAACTGGAAAAAACACAGACAGAAGGACCAATTACTTTCAGTACCCATTGGGGTTGAATATTTTCCCGGTATTTTACAAATTTTCTTCCGGGTAACCCGGTATTTCCCGCCAAATCCGGAAGTGTCATTCAAAAGCATTATAAAGCATTTCAATTTGTCTGGATTTGATTAGCGCTTTGATCAGCATGAAAATACAAACCTGATGCTACCTGAGCCTGATGAGACATATATTAGGTATATTTTATGAGCCCTACATTAACGACATTTAAATGAGCCCAATCCCCCCCCCAAAAAAAAAAAATTACTGTGCCGTTATCCGATACATATATGGGCTACTGCACATTATGCACAACAGAAAAACATAAAAGCCCATAGATGTAGCTACAGTGAGGGAAAATTTTTTTTGATCCCCTGCTGATTTTGTACATTTGCCCACTGACAAAGAAATGATCAGTCTATAATTTTAATGGTAGGTTTATTTGAACAGTGAGAGACAGAATAACAACAACAAAATCCAGAAAAACGCATGTCAAAAATGTTATAAATTGATTTGCATTTTAATGAGGGAAATAAGTATTTGACCCCATCTCAATCAGAAAGATTTCTGGCTCCCAGGTGTCTTTTATACAGGTAACGAGCTGAGATTAGGAGCACACTCTTAAAGGGAGTGCTCCTAATCTCAGCTTGTTACCTGTATAAAAGACACCTGTCCACAGAAGCAATCAATCAATCAGATTCCAAACTCTCCACCATGGCCAAGACCAAAGAGCTCTCCAAGGATGTCAGGGACAAGATTGTAGACCTACACAAGGCTGGAATGGGCTACAAGACCATCACCAAGCAGCTTGGTGAGAAGGTGACAACAGTTGGTGCGATTATTCGCAAATGGAAGAAACACAAAATAACTGTCAATCTCCCTCGGCCTGGGGCTCCATGCAAGATCTCACCTCGTGGAGTTGCAATGATCATGAGAACAGTGAGGAATCAGCCCAGAACTACACGGGAGGATCTTGTCAATGATCTCAAGGCAGCTGGGACCATAGTCACCAAGAAAACAATTGGTAACACTGTGAAGGACTGAAATCCTGCAGCGCCCGCAAGGTCCCCCTGCTCAAGAAAGCACATATACAGGGCCGTCTGAAGTTTGCCAATGAACATCTGAATGATTCAGATTGAAGAACTGGGTGAAAGTGTTGTGGTCAGATGAGACCAAAATCGAGCTCTTTGGCATCAACTCAACTCACCGTGTTTGGAGGAGGAGGAATACTGCCTATGACCCCAACACCATCCCCACCGTCAAACATGGAGGTGGAAACATTATGCTTTGGGGGTGTTTTTCTGCTAAGGGGACAGGACAACTTCACCGCATCAAAGGGACGATGGACGGGGCCATGTACCGTCAAATCTTGGGTGAGAACCTCCGTCCCTCAGCCAGGGCATTGAAAATGGGTTGTGGATGGGTATTCAACAAAGGAGTGGCTCAAGAAGAAGCACATTAAGGTCCTGGAGTGGCTGTACCGGTCTTGACATCTTAATACTGTCATACATTTGAGATAGGAGAATCTATCTCTGGCCCTCTAGTATGGTGAAAGGAATGTCCTTTGTTTCAGAGACTTTTGCCGCCCAAAAACTCCAACATCCAACAATGAACATTGGGACAATATATTTCAACATCCAAACGTTGGGAATGATGAGAAATGGAATATGGAAAATTAACGTCTATTTTGTGATGTCATAAAAAATTGTATAAAGGCGTTATAAGGAAAACATTGTGACTTGAAGAGCTTTTACACTGTGGATATCAGGCTTACATCCTTTAACTTGGGTAGAAAATATCAAGGAGGAAGACAATGTTTTCGTGAAGATAGGAATGTGATTTTAGCTTTCTAACAAAATCATAGTGATGATAATACTTTTGCCTCGTAACTAGCCACGCCCGAGGGAGCTCAGAGAGCGTGTCAGTATGACGGAAATGCCCCTCTTTACCAGAGTGCATAAAACACTGAGATAAGAATGATCAGATCAGACTAGACGGACCTCAAGCTGTAGCTTTTGTCCATATTGGTTCTGACCCTGAAAATCAACGAGGTGAAGACGACAAAGTTGCCTCAACTAACAATCGAAGACAAACACGTAAATACATGCATTACTTCTTACCAAACGGGCGGCAGTTCTTGGCAAAATATTAGGATTACTTTGAGCGTAGGTCCATGTGTATCCAAGTGTTTTTCTCTCTCGCTCTCTTTAACTCGCCATCTTTTCTAACAAGTGTCATATTGTGTTAGTCCGCTAGGGACCCGTTTTCATTGTATTAAGTTTCTAATCCCTACCTATACCGTGTATGTATCTTGTGTTATCATTTTTTATTAGTTAGTAAATAAATAATTAAATCAATTTGTGTGGTATGAAATAATCAGTAAGACCCGGGTTCGTGCAGACTTAAGGAGCCTACAACTTTCAGAATGAGACTGATATGAGGTAAATGATTAATAAATGACTGTTAAATGATAAGAGATATATAGATATCTTTATAGTTAATTCGGGAAACGGTAACTTGTTAAACAACTTTTCCCGTGGTGCCCCAAATTCCTAATGAGTTAATTGTTACATGATTAATTTAATCTAGTAACAATTAAACATAGTAGGTAATCATTCAATAAATAATAGTCATCACAATAATGAAAGGCACGTCATGACATAAGTTTCGTTTTCCTTATCTTCATCATTCTAATGACATCCTTGAATAATATAGGACTAGAATTAGATGACAAAGATTTAATGGTTATGGGTCTGAATAAATAACTGCTATAGCCTACCGCCATCCCGCGTTCGCTCTTCTTTCAAACTACCTGTGAGTTCTATTGGCTGCTGTATTTAACATTCAGCAAAAAAGAGCTTGCGTCCCTCTTCGAATAGTCTATTGGGTATAAGAAATGCTACAAAAATAATGTCCAGCAAGCTATTCTAGTCTAGCTTTTCCTGCATGGGACTCCAAGAGCTACGGAGCGTTTATTAAGGAGAAAGCCCACCGGAGCACAGGTGCTTACGTATTGCGCAAGAGACAGAGGCTATAAGTTAGAAGCTTATTATGCATAACCCATCATTAATTAGCTAAATATAAGGCTAATACTGCATTGAATTTATTACCTGAAAGAGGTAGGCTAGGACATATATATAGGGCTATATATATATATACAGTGGGGAAAAAAAGTATTTAGTCAGCCACTATTTGTGCAAGTTCTCCCACTTAAAAAGATGAGAGAGGCCTGTAATTTTCATCATAGGTACATGTCAACTATGAAAGACAAATTGAGAAAAAAAAATCCAGAAAATCACATTGTAGGATTTTTAATGAATTTATTTGCAAATTATGGTGGAAAATAAGTATTTGGTCACCTACAAACAAGCAAGATTTCTGGCTCTCACAGACCTGTAACTTCTTCTTTAAGAGGCTCCTCTGTCCTCCACTCGTTACCTGTATTAATGGCATCTGTTTGAACTTGTTATCAGTATAAAAGACACCTGTCCACAACCTCAAACAGTCACACTCCAAACTCCACTATGGCCAAGACCAAAGAGCTGACAAAGGACACCAGAAACAAAATTGTAGACCTGCACCAGGCTGGGAAGACTGAATCTGCAATAGGTAAGCAGCTTGGTTTGAAGAAATCAACTGTGGGAGCAATTATTAGGAAATGGAAGACATACAAGACCACTGATAATCTCCCTCGATCTGGGGCTCCACGCAAGATCTCACACCGTAGGGTCAAAATGATCACAAGAACGGTGAGCAAAAATCCCAGAACCACACGGGGGGACCTAGTGAATGACCTGCAGAGAGCTGGGACCAAAGTAACAAAGCCTACCATCAGTAACACACTACGCCACCAGGGACTCAAATCCTTCAGTGCAAGACGTGTCCGCCTGCTTAAGCCAGTACATGTCCAGGCCTGTCTGAAGTTTGCTAGAGTGCATTTGGATGATCCAGAAGAGGATTGGGAGAATGTCATATGGTCAGATGAAACCAAAATACAACTTTTTGGTAAAAACTCAACTCGTCGTGTTTGGAGGACAAAGAATGCTGAGTTGCATCCAAAGAACACCATACCTACTGTGAAGTATGGGGGTGGAAACATCATGCTTTGGGGCTGTTTTACTGCAAAGGGACCAGGACGACTGATCCGTGTAAAGGAACGAATGAATGGGGCCATGTATCGTGAGATTTTGAGTGAAAACCTCCTTCCATCAGCAAGGGCATTGAAGATGAAACGTGGCTGGGTCTTTCAGCATGACAATGATCCCAAACACACCGCCCGGGCAATGAAGGAGTGGCTTCGTAAGAAGCATTTCAAGGTCCTGGAGTGGCCTAGCCAGTCTCCTGATCTCAACCCCATAGAAAATCTTTGGAGGGAGTTGAAAGTCTGTGTTGCCCAGCGACAGCCCCAAAACATCACTGCTCTAGAGGAGATCTGCATGGAGGAATGGGCCAAAATACCAGCAACAGTGTGTGAAAACCTTGTGAAGACTTACAGAAAACGTTTGACCTGTGTGATTGCCAACAAAGGGTATATAACAAAGTATTGAGAAACTTTTGTTATTGACCAAATACTTATTTTCCACCATAATTTGCAAATATGTTCATTAAAAATCCTACAATGTGATTTTCTGGATTTTTTTTTCTCATTTTGTCTGTCATAGTTGATGTGTACCTATGATGAAAATTACAGGCCTCTCTCATCTTTTTAAGTGGGAGAACTTGCACAATTGGTGGCTGACTAAATACTTTTTTTCCCCACTGTATATATATCAATCTTGAACAGGATTATGTATTTTGGAATGCAATTTGAATGGAGTTGATGGAGAGAGAAAGACTGGAAGAGAGTGCTTTCGTGTACACGGATATAAAGCAACGATACTCAAGTGATAGGCTGTTTTAAAACTCCGCAGCTGCAAAAAATATATATATATTTACAATTTAAAAAAGGTGACCCATGAATGCCAGATGGAGATGGGTAAATTAAACGCGCATTCGGTCTTTATATTACTGTAGCATAGGCTATGCTGTATCAAATGTAGACCTACCTGTCACAAGAAAAACAGTTACCATGATGAGATGATACGTAGGTCTACATGCATTGTGAACTGCGCTCCATACTGAGATGGGCTGTCTGTCCCCACCATGAGCATTGATTCATCATGAGGCCATAGAGAAGCCAGATTTAGACATCGCATATAATTTAACGCCATGCTGTTCATATTAATCATTTATTATAATTTACCGGTTTCTCGCAGTTATTTATCCTGGGAAATGGGAGTGGCTTTGGGCGGTAAATCCCGGTACATCTCGGTAACTGGGTTCCCGCCATTCAACCCTAGTACCCATAGTGTACTGATGACTGAATCAGCTAACCTCCTCTTTCTGGTGCTCTCTGCTGGTGGAGAGGTCACTGTGGACACTGCCCTCCTCCATGTCATGAGCCCTCATCAGGGAAAGCTCTTCCTCGCTGTGCCGCCGCACACGCTCATAACCCTGGGGAGGGAGACACACACACACACACTCTGCATGTTACAACCAGAGCACACTCCTATAAACAGACTACACACCACCATAGACTGTTACAACCATAACAGACTCATATATGGACACACTACACATACATGCACATGACTCTGAGGTCAGAAACAGACACACCCAAAGCCTCACCCTGTACATTCCCATGAGGTTGGCTCCTCCGTTGTGCAGCCAGTAGAGGTAAACTGGTTTCCCCAGCAGTAAGACAGGCACTGATAGTAGAGCAATGACCACCAGGAACACCTGCAGCCCAACCTACAGTAGCAGAGGGAAACAACATACAGGTCTGTTACAGTCTCACTGAAGTATCTTTGGAGCAGGTTGTCTTCACACCCACTGGGAAAACCACTCCCTTTTCCCAGTGGGTGTGTCCCAAAATGGCACACTATTCCCTATACAGTGCACTACTTTTGACCAGGGCCCTATAGTAGTGCACTATATAGGGAATAGTGTGCAGCCAGTGTGTGATCCCCATCTTTGTACCTGTCCTGGGAAGAGGGGTGGCACCCCGTCCCCCTGCATGAGGAACATGTTGATGAAGTGGATGAGGATGCTGGGGGCCATCTGGGAGTCGCGGGCAGAGAAGGCCAGCCACTTGTAGATGATCATGAAGACCAGGTAGCCAAACAAACACAGCAGGAACAGCAGCTCCGGGAGGAATACTAAGTACAGGTTGAACTTCTTTCTGAAGTGTCTGCATAGACACACAAACACAAACAGGGCTTTAAAGTGCCTGCATAGACACACAAACACAAACAGGGCTTTAAAGTGCCTGCATAGACACACAAACACAAACAGGGCTTTAAAGTGCCTGCATAGACACACAAACACAAACAGGGCTTTAAAGTGCCTGCATAGACACACAAACACAAACAGGGCTTTAAAGTGCCTGCATAGACACACAAACACAAACAGGGCTTTAAAGTGCCTGCATAGACACACAAACACAAACAGGGCTTTAAAGTGCCTGCATAGACACACAAACACAAACAGGGCTTTAAAGTGCCTGCATAGACACACAAACACAAACAGGGCTTTAAAGTGCCTGCATAGACACACAAACACAAACAGGGCTTTAAAGTGCCTGCATAGACACACAAACACAAACAGGGCTTTAAAGTGCCTGCATAGACACACAAACACAAACAGGGCTTTAAAGTGCCTGCATAGACACAAAAACACAAACAGGGCTTTAAAGTGCCTGCATAGACACACAAACACAAACAGGGCATTAAAGTGCCTGAACAGACAAACCGAGCTTTCAGGATTCAGAGGACTACATTCTGTATCTTTAAATTGGCCATAATCTTATAGAGTTCTTATCATTCCAGTGCTGATATTGTTGGGAGTGTGTGTGCTGTAACTCACAGGTGGTTGAAGACACCTAGGATGACCCCGAAGCTCATGTGAATGATACCCACGATCACAGACATCTTCATCTTGTAGGAGTTCAGAAAGGTCAGACGATTTGTCGCCAAGTTCCAAATCTACACAGTGGCAGAAACAAGGAAAATAACCCCGTCAGGTTGAGGTATGGACAGACTACATCCAAGCCAGATTGATGGTTTTGTTAACAAATATTGTTATAAGAAATGTTTTATGAAAATGAGTAATGACCCATGATTTACTTTATTGGCTATGGTTGGTGAGAGGCAAGTGTGTATGGTTATGAAGGGACAGGGAATAACTTGTGTGTACTTGTGTGTGTAGTGAACATAGAGACAATGCAGTTTATGACCATGGATCATAAAGCCATGTACTTACCGGGTCAATGCCCAAAGGGTAGGGTCCATTGAAAACCCCAGGGACGTTGGGATCAAGGGTCAGAACGGCATTGGTGCGGAGCGTGGAATCCCTTTTACAGAAAATTCCAAAGTACACAATTATAACAAAGAGCAAGCTATCAGGTGATGTAATGTTATTCTGTAATCTCAAGAACAGATATTACTGTACAGGTACAGTCAGGGCTCTAAAGTACCATCAATTTGGTCGCATATGCGTCACAATATTTTGCTATGCGACCAGGAGTTTTATTTTGGGAGCGCCGTGCGACTATGAAATAAAATCTCCCAGATACTAATTGTTGTAATGATAAGGCGTCGCTGTACCATTGCAGATTCATTAGTGTCATGGTTGCACCATTATTAGTACAGTGAAAACAGATTGCTTCTAGCTCAACCAGGTCAAAAGATCTGACCCATATTACCGGCGCAACATCTTCCTATAGCGTGTCGCCGGGACCTCATTTTACATTCATAAACCATGTAGTGGGTCGTTCTAAAACTACTCTCGTGTGGTTAACCATTTGTTTACACTTTGTTGAGTCGTGTTACCTCATTGGCTAGCTAGCTAACAACCTGGTAACTTTACCAGTATATCCAAACATTCTGGGGCACAGAAAGAAAGGGAAAGGGATAGCTTCTTCAGGAGATCAATGACCATAGCAATGAATGAATGACAGATCTCTTGCATGTCATCATCACAAACCTGACATTTTTAAAGAGACCGTGTACAATTTTCAATGTCAATAGGAAAACAGTGCTTTTACACAATGTAGAAACCTAATATTCCACAAATGACTTTGTAATTTCAATGAGAGGTATTTGTATCGCTTTTATAATAAACAACTGTATTTACAGTGTTACATATTAGTTTATAGGGCATAACATGCTTCAAAAGTAGCTAGAATTCATATAGACTGTATCTCAATCAATTTAAAAAAAAGTATTTTCTGGTGCTCCTAAATTAATGTGGTGCTCCTAACTTTTTTTTAAAATTGGGAGCACCAGTTCTACCAATGAAAAATGTTAATTTAGAGCCCTGGGTACAGTACAGAACAGATTATAGCACAGTACTAACCAAGCCCACTTTCCAGATTTAAACATGGCGTTGACGCTCCAGCCCGAGCCAAATATGTTGAGAGACTTGGAGAAGCAGTCGTTGTAGATGAGGCCGGTATAGACCGAGAACAAGCCCATCATCAGGATTATGTAACGGCCCTCGAAGAACGTGTTCCAGATCTGAGCATACAAACACACCAATGTCAATGTAGGAGAAAGAATCTAGCTAACCACATTTCCTGGTCAAACCTAGTGCACTACATAGGGAGCCATTTGAGACACACACCCTGACCCGCTCACCTCGTTTCTTGTGCGCTTCAGTTTGCGGTTGTCCTCATACAGCACCATCCAGAGAGCAAACAGAGCCATGATCACACCATGGCCCAGGTCTCCAAACATCACAGCAAACAGGAAGGGGAAGGTGATGACTGTGTAAGGAGCTGTTAGACAATAGACAAAACAGGACATCATATTCCATATACACATTCAACTATCCCTCAAGTTCAAAACGTTATTGTCCATTCATGTTTAGGGTGGAAGTGTGTCTTTGGCTATGGGCATGTGGCTCATACACATAGCAAACAAACAGAAAACAGAAAAACCGTAAGCCTAATGATAGATTCCTAAATGTAGTAATCAGTGGTCATTGACTGACGAGGTCTTACAGTACCTGGGTTAACCTCTCTATAGTTGCCCACTCCATAGGCCTCCACTATGTTCTGGAAGCCTGAGGTGAACTTGTTGGTCCTTATCAGGGTGGGCGGAATGTCGTTGCTAGGGATACGGTTGACAAAAGAAGGCACTGTGGCTCCACTTTTCCTCTGTGAAGGCAAGCCAATAATGTCAGACAGACCGGGATTATTGCAATGTTAGTCTATTAAGGTTACATAGAGGTTTTTTGAGGGCAAGCCAATAACATTTATATTTTCCAGAGGATAAGACAGAAAATTTACATCTTATCAAATAGCTAGTAAGTTCAAATACTTTTAGACCATTCAAATACATTTTCACCGTTTAAGCCTCGTTTTTTTAAGCCTAATTTAAGCCATGTTTAACGGACTAAAACCCCTGGCAGAACCCTGACATGGGCTGCTGTCATTGAACTGACTGTGACCTTAATTATGCACATTAGCCAGTGCAATTAATTAAATGGACAGAAATCCTGGTAGCCCAACTGGACCTTGACTAGTTTATTCAATATGGCTTAAACCATATTGATCTTATCAGAGGTGGTCAAGATAAGATCAATGCCACTTCCCTCTTTCTACAAAAACCATGACCCCATTACAAAAGCAGGTCATGCTGACTGGGTGTGTGACTGTGTTGGTTTAGCCAAATACTGAACTTAGAGGGGGAGGGGGGGGGTTAAAGAGTTAAGCCCAACAGTGACTTTACATAGGGAGCCATGGTAACAAAGAGCTGACTCACAGAGCCTTCCTCAAGCGCCCTCCGCAGGGTCGGCAGGTCGTTGACAGGGCACCACACCTCGGCTATCAGACACTTGTTAGTGACATCAAAGCTGCACAGGTTGAGGATGTGGTAGATGGCCTTCATCTTCTTGACCTGGATGACCCAGGTGTAGACAGACTCAGAGGCCTTGTTCAACACCTGTCTCAGGTAGTCCTCGGTCCTGTGTAGAACCTGGGGACAGCCAGCGTGTGGAGAGGGTTAGTATTACATTTTAACTAATGGGAGGGTTTCCCATCCATTCAGAATATCAAGAGGGTGTGGGCAAATTATGAATGACTGTCTAAGAATGTTCTGTGCAGGATAGAGAATCTTCCAATGCACATGCTAGGGAGGGAATGTGAGTGTGCATGCTGGTAGTTTTAGTGTGTGTGTGTGTGTGTGTGTGTGTGTGTGTGTGTGTTACGAGAAACAAAAAGAAGAGGGAGCCTTCAGCTAAGACCTTATGGAGATCATGTGCTGGGACCAGAGGTTAATGCAATTATTTTTTTCCTCCAGGGGTAGAACATCCAAAAGGATTGATCTTAACAGTCTCCCAGACAGCAAGGCACAAGCTAAGTCATGTGACCCCACAGTGATCACGACAGACATGTGCTCTAGCGCCTGAGAGAGCTCGCCCTCTCTCGCTCCTGAGAAATCTACCCCTCACACTCCATTCCAATTCTTGTTCTGAATCACTCTAAACACCCGCTGTCCATGCCTCGCTCTAGCCAGAAGCACAAGGCCCATTCTGTGAGGGATACCTCCAGCACTTCTTTACTAACAGCCAAGCTTCATTTTGTATTTTATCTTTAACAGCTCAAGTCACAAGACTTGCAACATCCTCCTTTGTTAAAATGCCTCATCAAGCACAATATATTTCAACAGCTATATCCAGCAGCAGGAACACCTTAAGCAGTAAGCCGTTGATAGCTTACATTTTAACTGGCAAAATGTTGCTGTTTTAAAGTGAATTTCCTCCAATTCTAATTGCCGCTGTTAAATAGATATAGGGGAAACACTAACTTATAAATGCCTTGTGAGCTTAGTTCAACTCTCATACCCCATCAGTTTTAAACATTGTAAATGTAAACAAACACAGTAAAGCCTCAAAACATGCTTAAAACTATAGTTTGTATATCTTGGATGGTCAGTCCTTGCATCCATAGCTCCATCTATACATTTTAGAGTGGTTACATTTCTCCAGGCTCATCCCTCAGCTTTTTACCAAAACAGAGACGGGGAGGCAACTTCGTTATCATTTCAACTCCGGATTGGCCCTTTAAAAACAATAAATAAATAAAGCATCACCCACTATCTTGTTGCTGACAAGAGTTTTAGAGAGCTTACAGTGTGCAGGTCCTGGATGCGAGTCCTGAGTCCCTCCACAACGTCATTCCTCTCCTCATTACTGTTAGGGTATGGATACACGTGACAGTGGTAGCTGAGGGGCAAATCACCACTGATTACTACATTTAGGAATCTATCTTTAGAGATCTATGATGTTATTATCACACAGGTTAAAGCCACCGTCTTCAGAGCTTGTTGGGGGCAACATATTAGGCCTAATGGTTTGATGGGGAATGACCTCAGTCTGAAAGTGTAACAGGAGGTCATTTGGAGATGCATTTTAATTACCAGTCACAGATCTTCTTGACTTTCTGTCCGATCTGCTCACCCCAATAGGAGATGAGGAACACCACACTCTTAGTTGGCTCACCCTGCAATAACCATAGAACAGGAAGTGGTTTAGAATAGACACACAGTAAGGTAGAGGTGAGAGGCTCTGTGGTCCTCTGTAGCTCAGCTGGTAGAGCACGGCGCTTGTAACGCCAAGGTAGTGGGTTCAATCCCCGGGACCACCCATACACAAAAATGTATGCACGCATGACTGTAAGTCGCTTTGGATAAAAGCGTCTGCTAAATGGCATATTATTATTATTACTTCTCACAGGCCCAACACAGATGCTGTTATATTTAGCTATGTGGTAAACAGTATCTTATTCTTTTATCTTAGATTTTACATTCACACTCAAGCACTTACTGTAGAAAAGGGTTAACAATATCTCTCACACAGAGCAAGATTGACCTACCGTGTCAGGGTCCTCCAAATACTCGTCAATTTCAGAGTAGCTGAGAATGGTGTAGCCCTTACACACTCTCCACAGCATGCGCTCAAAGGCCTCTATCTTCACCCTCTGAATCAGCCCTGATATAAACCTGCAGGGGGAGGGGAGAGAAACAGGGTGTTACTGTAAACAATCACACATACACACAAGTGTGTATAACTCTATATGTCTGCTGATAGCCCCTTACCCTAGTTTGGCTCCTAGCCGCTGCATGCTTGTGAACTCCATCATGGAGTCCTCTAGGAAGGAGAAGTCCTCATACTGGGCATGCAGGGGCTCACACTGGGAAAAATAACATTTTCCCCAGTGTAAGGACACGCATACCAAAATACATACCATGAAAGAAAACACATACACCCCCATAACACATTGTTCGAAAAAGGGCAACATTTTGGCCATGCATGAATGAGTAAAAGACAAGCAGCATGGTTTTGGCTAATCCAAGATTTATCCCCCAAAACCTCCTATATAGAGGGGAGGAAAGAGCAAAGAAAGTCTCACAATGGAAGCAGCCAAGCCAAATCATGCGATACTAAATAGTTTCAGTCTCCTCAAGCATACCAAAGCAAGTGCTCTGAAGTCAAACAGTAGGGCAGAGTGTTGTACAGTAGTGGGATCCTGCTTTGTGGAGCAGCTGCAGGACTTACTTCTGTGCCGCGGTGCACAAAGTTGCGTGTGATACGCAGCATGTGTGTGTACTCGGTCAGCTCCAGAAGGTTCTTCTGTAGCTTCTCCTTATTCCTGGTCACCTCACTCAGCTCCACCTCCAGCCTCTGCAACTGCTCCTGGAGACAGCCATACATACAGAGTCAATTAGCAATGACAATACGGGATGTGTCCCAAATGGCACCCTATTCTCCATTTAGTAAATACACTGAACAAAAATATATAAACACAACATGCAACAGTTTCAAAGACTTTACTGAGTTACAGTTCATATAAGGAAATCAGTCAATTATAATAAATTCATTAGGCCCTAATCTATGGATTTCACAGATATGCATCCTGTTGGTCACATATACCTTAAAAAAAGGTAGGGGTGTGGATCAGAAAACCAGTCAGTATCTGGAGTGACCCCCATTTGCCTCATGCAGCAAGACATATCTCCGTCACATAGAGTTGATCAGGCTGTTGATTGTGGCCTGTGGAATGTTGTCCCACTCCTCTTCAATGGCTGTGCGAAGTTGCTGGATATTGGCGGGAACAAGCGGTCGTACACGTCGATCCATTGCATTCCAAACATGCTCAATGGGTGACATGTCTGGTGAGTATGCAGGCCATGGAAGAACTGGGACATTTTCAGCTTCCAGGAATTGTGTATAGATCCTTGCGACATGGGGCCGTGCATTACCATGCTGAAACATGAGGTGATGGCGGCGGATGAATGGCACGACAATGGGCCTCAGGATCATCTCTGTTCATTCAAATTGCCATCGATAAAATTAAATTGTGTTCATTGTCCGTAGCTTATTCCTGCTCATACCATAACCCCACCACCACCATGGGGCACACTGTTCACAACGTTGACATCAGCAAACCACTCGCCCACACGATGCCATGCACACGCGGTCTGCCATCTGCCTGGTGCAGTTCAAACCAGGATTCATCCGTGAAGAGCACACTTCTCCAGCGTGCCATTGGCCATTGAAGGTGAGCATTTGCCCACTGAAGTCGGTTACGACACCGAACTGCAGTAAGGTCAAGACCCTGGTAAGGACGATGTGCACGCAGATGAGCTTCCCTGAGACGGTTTCTGACAGTTTGTGCTGAAATTCTTTGGTTGTGCAAACCCACAGTTTCATCAGCTGTCCGGGTGGCTGGTCTCAGACGTTCCCGCAGGTGAAGAAGCCAGATGTGGAGGTCCTGGGCTGGCGGTTACACGTGGTCTGCAGTTGTGAGGCCGGTTGGACGTACTGTCAGATTCTCTAAAATGACATTGAGGCGGCTTATGGTAGAGAAATTAACATTAAATTATCTGGCAATAGCTCTGGTGGACATTCCTGCAGTCAACATTCCAATTGCACACTCCTTCAAACCTTGAGACATCTGTGGCATTGTGTTGTGTGACAAAACTTCACATTTTAGAGTGGCCTTTTATTGTCCCCAGCACAATGTGCTTGTTGATATGCCACACCTGTCAGGTGGATGGATTATCTTGGCAAAGGAGAAATGCTCACTAACAGGGATGTAAACATTGAACCAACACTTAACATGTTGCGTTTATATTTCAGTGTATATGGTGCCATTTGGGACAAATAAAATACTTCATTCTTATGATAAAGGATTCATAACATTTTAGAGAATGAGAGACAGGTAGAGAGAGCTAACCATTATAACCAGGACATGCTTGGGCAGGGGTGCAACCGGGTTCACTTCTCCCTCTGGAAGTGGGATGTCTGCTCTCTTGATTTCCCTTAGAAGGTACCCTGTCAAAGACGCACGTGTATGTGACCAATAAATGTCGATTTGAAGTCTTAGTACACAACACACAAACAGTCACTGAATCTATTTGTTTCAAATAATACATCTATAGCAATAAGCTTAATCTGTTGTCATTTAAAAACTATACAGTGTTTTTCATTGCATCTAAGAGTCTCTACTCTGCCTCACACTAATTCTCTCTCTTCCCTCAGGAACTCACATTCCTCTGAGAAACCTTCCCCAACACTCCTTGTACTTTCCTTTTTGGGGGGGCCTAAATTTAATCTCCAAGCGTCTGCCTCCAATTAAGCCTGAGTTTAGATTCCTTTAATGAGTCTCATTGGCCAGGGCACAGTGTATCTCAGAACTGTACAGTGGTCTTGTCATAGAGACTGGGATTTGCACAGCAACTGTGGGAAAGTTATTGAGTTATTCAGGAGTGCATCAATGCCCATCACTTTTAAAACAGGGGTGAAAGTAAACCTATACGGTCCGGTACAGCAGCCCTGCAAAATAAATAGTGGGGGTACACCATACCGTTAAAACGTGAGCATACCACAATAATTAACACAAAATGCCAAGAAAACTATAGGCTATAACACCCTTATTTAACATTACTGCATGTCAGCCGCATGAACATTTAGCGAATTGACTTGAAACCAGCTCCAAATTGCGTTGTGGTTTGACGAGAACACTTACATTTTGCCAAGGCGGAGATGAGTGGCCAAGACAGAGACGCGCGGACAGCAGTGGACGCATCATTTCGGGCTACAAGTGTAGGCCTAATGGCAGAATGTGATTTCCATTCATCAAATTGCGGGTGCACAGTGCACTGTTTGGACGCTGGAATTATTTTGTGAGTGGAAGAACTTGTGCGGGTAGCCTACAAGAGCGCCTTTTTGAAGTGATTGACAACCAGATGAACACATCCTGAGTGGTTGTGTTTATGCCACATTAAAAGGTCATACATGTTAAAAGTTATATGACAATTCTTTACTTAGCCCACAGAGATCATATGAAATGCATAGGGATTCTATATGCAATTCTATGATTACACCTAGGCTATAAATAAAAAATGATGTGCACGCACACACATAGGGAGTCCAGTACCGTAAGAAATTAAATGTACTTTCACCCCTGCTTTTAAGTTATGATTAAACCAAACGGTTTTATCCTTACCTAGAATTCTCTCCATTTCCTCACATCGTTTTAACTCAGTGACAAACTTCCGCTGGAATAGGTTTACGCTGGGGTTGAGCTGAAACGGTAGGAGCAGTGCCACATTTTTACTGTCACCATGAACACACACCTGTCTAAGCTGATATTGACTCGATTTTGCAAATGATCTCCAAAATCAGGGTTGTGGGTTCGATTCCCACGGGGGGCCAGTATAAAAAAAAAAAAACATGTATGCACTCACTAACTGTAAGTCGCTCTGGATAAGAGCGTCTGCTAAAATGACTAAAATGTAAAAATTATTAATCAGACTACGTTAGACAAGACTCCACTCCTCAAGTACTCCCAACAATGAGTTGAATCAGGTGTTTCTGTCAGGGGCTACAACAAAAATGTGTGCTGTTGGGGGTACTCGAGGACCAGAGTTGGGAAACAAGCTAACTTATCAGGTCTTGTGTTAGGAACTCCCTAGCTCTCAAACTTTAGGCGGCATTCTGCCCTACAGTTATTAGGCATTAGCTTCGCCCATGACTGCCTCATGTGAACTACAATCCCCACGCTGTGTTTTAACATTTAGAAACGTCAATAATCATTGCTTGCGATACCGCTTTCGAAATATATGGCCCTTATCTTTCATCGGCGAGAAAGAATCCTGAATGGTGCATGTTAATGTTCAGACTGAGCGTCAGGGATCTCCCCCCTACAGAAGACCCCTTCATCCAATGACTCTTGTGTAATGTATGCCTGGAACTGAGAGTCGTGATCAAGGGCAAGGTCGGGACGGGCAACATTCTACCTACCTGATCATGTCTGACAGCTCACAATACAACTGTACCATCAATGAGAGATTAACTTTCACACCTGCGCTAGCTAGATGAGACTGTTTATTTGGGGAGCAATCAGTAAGTTACTTACGTCTCTGAATTCCACCAGACCCATTTCTCCCAGTTCGCTAATGCAGTCGTATGCCGATCCAGACTGCAGAAACAGCTGGGCCAAACACATCTCTTCACTTCGGAACAACGAACCCATCTTGACAGCTTGCTATTCTCCTGTCCTTACACTACAACCGGCTAGTTAGCTTCAACTACAGCTAACTAGCGTAAGTCTCGAGCCCAAACCACTTAACTGGGTAGGCTTAAAGGCGGGTTCCGGCGTCTTAGGAAGTAGCTACCTAGCAGGCTAACAAACTACTGATGAGCATTCGCTTCAACACCGTATCAATCATTGGCTCATCAGTGACACGTCTCAAGACGTTTCTGTTGAAGTCATCTTGCTGTATCCATATAACGTAGCTATCGATTTTAGAGAACCAGAAGATCCTAGCTAGTAGGAACTCTGTCACTTGGGCTAGCTAGCTCTGGTTCCGTGAACTCGCTTCTCAATTTAGTTGTGGTAGTTAGCAGAAGCTACTGTTAGCGAACTGACACTAGAAACAATAACGTTTGATAGCAAACTATGACTATAAGCACATTTAAACTTGGAACTTCAATAAAGTCTACCGTAACTCGTTTTATTAAATACTCTCGAAATCATGCGCACTTTGATATAGCGCTTGTAGGCAAGTTACAAATTCCACGTCATTTCATACAACTCTTGTGCGTGCTCTGGTTATATCCGTGATGATGTTGTTCTCTCTATTCATTACACAAATTCTGTTGCAAAACGTTTCTTAAACGGAACGAAATGGGGCGGGACCTATCACAATTTGTCCAGTAGAAACTGTCGTTTTAGTTGCAAAACGTTCAGTTCCGTTTTGCAACTGTTTCGACTAATGCTTACAACCCTGGTTTGCCTTCTCGAACGTCTGAAGCGAGAGGTTTTACTCCGCCCAAAATCTGTCGACGAAAATAAGACACAAAAGTTATACATTTTTGTATGGAGGTTAATGAGAGGGTGTCGAATTTGGTCAACGAAAAATGTAATTGCTAATTTGCTACGTGAGGCTTATTTGATCGAATATAAGTTTCGTAATGGTTAGGTTGTTACGAATGTACTGATATAAGTTGTGGATAAGTGGACCTATGTGGCATTTCGGCAACTTTGAAAGAAAAAATACTTTATTTCAGATTTGTGCCTGTTGTCATAGAGATAGATAGATGACACATTTTCTTTAATAATTTTTTCAACCTTTATTTTATCAGGGAGTAATACTGAGACCAAGGTCTCTTTTACAGATGAGCCCTGAATTACACAAATTACAGAAAATACACATATCAAAATATTAATACAAAATGTTGGCAGAAATTAAAACACTGTCATAAAAAACAAACACATTCATCAGTAATAAGGTCCGCAATCAGCTTTCTGAATTGCCCTAGAGGCACCAGAACATGAAATGTAAGAACATTTTGAAGATTGTTTCACAAATAAGGTGCAAGAAAGCTAAAAGCTGATTTACCTAACTCAGTAGAGACCAAAGTACTTTCCAGAGTTAGCAATTCCTGAGACCGGGTGTGGTAACTCCTATGTCTAAAGATTAGTAATGATGTTAGGTACAGTAGGACTTTTTGTAAAAGGGCTTTATAAATGAAAACATAGCAATATATCAACATACGTGACATCAAAGAAGGCCAACCAACTTTCTGGTAGAGAATGCAGTGATGAGTACTAAAATTGTCGCCCGTAATAAAGCGCAGTGCGTAATGATAAACTGCATCTAACTGCTTTAATCAAGTGTCAGCTGCGTTCATATAGATGATGTCGCCATAGTCTAGGACCGATAGGAACATCGACTGAATAATCTGCTTTCTACTATTTAGCGAGAGGCAGGATCTATTTCTAACTAACTCATCAATATGCGTTTTTAAAAGACAGCTTTTCATCTATCCAGATACCCAGATATGTGTAAGCATGGACACGATCAATATGGACACCATCCAAAGTACATATGCTTTAACCATCAGACTTCTTTTTATGTATCTCTAGAGAACAACATCATCACGGATATAACCTGTTTTAGCATGGACATTGCCATTGAAGGGTTCCACCATTTTAAAGTAGTCAACTGGGTGGGGATTCCTATGAGTTGGGAGCAATCAGCCAAAGAAGAAGAAGAACATATAGTACTTTAAAAATAGAGATAGCCTCAATGGCGCTGCCCATCAGTGGTGTAAAGTACTTAAGTAAAAATACTTTAAAGTACTACTTAAGTAGTTTTTTTGGGTATCTGTACTTTACTATTTATATTTTTGACAACTTTTACTTTTACTTCACTACATTCCTAATGAAAAGTATGTACTTTTTACTCCATACATTTTCCCTGACACCCAAAAATACTCGTTACATTTTGAATGCTTAGCAAACGCGTATCTGCCCTCTCATTGTCTAGAATGGTCCCACCTGAGCTCGACTCCGCCCAACTGCGTTCCATCTTTGAGGACATGTATGTCCATTGTTAGAGCGGTCACTTGACTATCTTGTCAATATAATAGACAATCTTTGGACAAGTTTATCTGCAGGTTGAGGTTTATTGCCACGAGTCTTGTCCTGGAGGCAGAACTGAGCGATTTCCCCTTAAAATTGGCTATATTGTAAAAATGTATAAAAATATATTTGAAAAATTGTCTTAATTTAAGGTTAGTAGCTAGGGTTAGCAAACCACTCTGGAGAGCTGCCTCCAGAACAAGGTTCATGACAAAAAACGCTAACCTGCAGTTTATTGTTACCCGGACTATCTGCACTGACCCTATCTTGCACTAACTCTATGCACACTCACAAGACTATATGCAGTGCCTTCAGAAAGTATTAATACCCCTTGACTTATTCCACATTTTGTTGTCTTACAGACTGAATTTAACATCAATTATATATATATATATACATACAGTGGGGAGAACAAGTATTTGATACACTGCCAATTTTGCAGGTTTTCCTACTTACAAAGCATGTAGAGGTCTGTAATTTTTTATCATAGGTACACTTCAACTGTGAGAGACGGAATCTAAAACAAAAATCAAGAAAATCACATTGTATGATTTTTAAGTAATTAATTTGCATTTTATTGCATTACATAAGTATTTGATCACCTACCAACCAGTAAGAATTCCGGCTCTCACAGACCTGTTAGTTTTTCTTTAAGAAGCCCTCCTGTTCTCCACTCATTACCTGTATTAACTGCACCTGTTTGAACTCATTACCTGTATAAAAGACACCTGTCCACACACTCAATCAAACAGACTCCAACCTCTCCACAATGGCCAAGACCAGAGAGCTGTGTAAGGACATCAGGGATACAATTGTAGACCTGCACAAGGCTGGGATGGGCTACAGGACAATAGGCAAGCAGCTTGGTGAGAAGGCAACAACTGTTGGCGCAATTATTAGAAAATGGAAGAAGTTCAAGATGACGGTCAATCACCCTCGGTCTGGGGCTCCATGCAAGATCTCACCTCGTGGGGCATCAATGATCATGAGGAAGGTAGGGGATCAGCCCAGAACTACACGGCAGGACCTGGTCAATGACCTGAAGAGAGCTGGGACCACAGTCTCAAAGAAAACCATTAGTAACACACTACGCCGTCATGGATTAAAATCCTGCAGCGCACGAAAGGTCCCCCTGCTCAAGCCAGCGCATGTCCAGGCCCGTCTAAAGTTTGCCAATGACCATCTGGATGATCCAGAGGAGGAATGGGAGAAGGTCATGTGGTCTGATGAGACAAAAATATAGCTTTTTGGACTAAACTCCACTCGCCGTGTTTGGAGGAAGAAGAAGGATGAGTACAACCCCAAGAACACCATCCCAACCGTGAAGCATGGAGGTGGAAACATCATTCTTTGGGGATGCTTTTCTACAAAGGGGACAGGACGACTGCACCGTATTGAGGGGAGGATGGATGGGGCCTTGTATCGTGAGATCTTGGCCAACAACCTCCTTCCCTCAGTAAGAGCATTGAAGATGGGTCGTGGCTGGGTCTTCCAGCATGACAACGACCCGAAACACACAGCCAGGGCAACTAAGGAGTGGCTCCGTAAGAAGCATCTCAAGGTCCTGGAGGGGCCTAGCCAGTCTCCAGACCTGAACCCAATAGAAAATCTTTGGAGGGAGCTGAAAGTCCGTATTGCACAGCGACAGCCCCGAAACCTGAAGGATCTGAAGAAGGTCTGTATGGAGGAGTGGGCCAAAATCCCTGCTGCAGTGTGTACAAACCTGGTCAAGACCTACAGGAAATGTATGATCTCTGTAATTGCAATCAAAGGTTTCTGTACCAAATATTAAGTTCTGCTTTTCTGATGTATGAAATACATGCAATAAAATGCAAATGAATTACTTAAAAATCATACAATGTGATTTTCTGGATTTTTGTTTTAGATTCTGTCTCTCACAGTTGAAGTGTAGCTATGATAAAAATTACAGACCTCTACATGCTTTGTAAGTAGGAAAACCTGCAAAATCGGCAGTGTATCAAATACTTGTTCTCCCCACTGTAGGTCCTGGATAGCAGGAAGCTTGGCCCCAGTGAAGTATTGGGCCATATGCACTACCCTCTGTAGCGCCTTACGGTCGGATGCCGAGCAGTTGCCATACCAGGCGGTGATGCAACCGGTCAGGATGCTCTTGATGGTGCAGCTGTATAACTTTTAGAAGATCTGGGGACCCATGCCAAATCTTTTCAGTCTCCTGAGGGGGAAAAGGTGTTGTCGTGCCCTCTTCACGACTGTCTTGGTGTGTTTGGACCATGATAGTTTGTTGGTGATGTGGACACCAAGGAACTTGAAACTCTGGACCCGCTCCACTACAGCCCAGTCGATGTTAATGGGGGCCTGTTCGGCCCTCCTTTTCCTGTAGTCCACGATCATCTCCTTTGTCTTGCTCACATTGAGGGAGAGGTTGTTGTCTTGGCACCACACTGCCAGCTCTCTAACCACCTCCCTATAGGCTGTCTCATCGTTGTCGGTGATCAGGCCTACCACTGTTGTGTTGTCAGCAAACTTAATGATGGTGTTGGAGTCAGGCTTGCCATAACAAAGGGGTTAAATACTTATTGACTCAAGACATTTCAGCTTTACATTTTTTTTTTTTAGGGGGTAGATCAATATTAATGTTGCAGATAGATTGTGGCTTCCGTCAACGTAATTGTCTGCATATTTTCCAATCCCCCATATTTATATTTCTGTAAATATGTACACTACCGGTCAAAAGTTTTACAACACCTACTCATTCAAGGGTTTTTCTTTATTTTAATTTTTTTTACTATTTCTTTATTTTTACTTAACCAGCATGGCTACCACAACATTCTGCAGCGATACGCCATACCATCTGTTTTGTGCTTAGTGGGACTATCATTTGTTTTTCAACAGGACAATGACCCAACACACCTCCAGGCTGTGTAAGGGCTATTTGACCAAGAAGGAGAGTGATGGATTGCTGCATCAGATGACCTGGCCTCCACAATCCCCCGACCTCAACCCAACTGAGATGGTTTGGGATGAGTCAGACCGCAGAGTGAAGGAAAGGCAGCCAACAAGTGCTCAGCATATGTGGGAACTCCTTCAAGGCTGTTGGAAAAGCATTCCAGGTGAAGCTGGTTGAGAGAATGCCAAGAGTGTACAAAGCTGACATCAAGGCAAAGGGTGGCTACTTTGAAGAATCTTAAATATAAAATATATTTTGATTTGTTTAACACTTTCTTGGTAACTACATGATTCCATATGTGTTATTTCATAGTGTTGATGTCTTCATAAAGGAAAACCCTTGAATGAGTAGGTGTCCAAACTTTTGACTGGTACTGTATAATATATATATATAGTTGCTAAATCTGATTGGATGGGCCTCGCTCCCCAGTGGGTGAAGCTGGGCCCACCCAGGCCCACGCCCCTGACTCAAAACACAAAAACTATATACATTCACATACAGTGCATTCGGAATGTATTCATACCCCTTCACTTTTTCCAAAAAAAATTACGTTACAGTGTTATTCTAAAATGTATTAAATAAATACACATCCTCATCAATCTACACACAATACCCCATAATGACAAAGCGAAAACAGGTTTTTAGAAATGTTCATTTTTTTTAGTGGGTAGATCAGCTTTAATATTTCAGATAGATTGTAACTTCCATCAATGTAATTGTCTGCATCACTTCCAATCCCCCATATGTTTTTTTCCCGCAAATATATATATACAGTGAGGGAAAAAGTATTTGATCCCCTGCTGATTTTGTACGTTTGCCCACTGACAAAGAAATGATCAGTCTATAATTTTAATGGTAGGTTTATTTGAACAGTGAGAGACAGAATAACAACAAAAAAATCCAGAAAAACGCATGTCAAAAATGTTATAAATTGATTTGCATTTTAATGAGGGAAATAAGTATTTGACCCCTCTGCAAAACATGACTTAGTTCTTGGTGGCAAAACCCTTGTTGGCAATCACAGAGGTCAGACGTTTCTTGTAGTTGGCCACCAGGTTTGCACACATCTCAGGAGGGATTTGAATATATATATATATATATATATATATATATTTGAATAATCAAATACTTTTTTCCCTCACTGTATATGGGACGGCTGTCAATCCTTTGGTCCTTAAATGAAACTGGTATACTTTTTTATTTATCACAATTTTCTTTAACCAATTATATTCTTTAATGCAAGGCCGACAGACAAGTTCCTTACTTTTTCCCCCTTCCACTTTCCTTTTCGATTTTTGCGGTAATGCTGCAATTATTTGGTTGTAATTTTGGGTAGAGCAGACATTTCCAAATGTTTTTGTTAGCTGCACCAGTCCTACCGATAATATCATTTACGAAGATTATACCTTTTTGAATAAAAAAAAAAAAAAAAAAAGGTTTTTTATCAATTAGTATATTTGAGTTTAACCACAATATTTGTTGCATTATTTGTTCTGTCGTTTCTGGAGGATTAAATTGAAATTGCAACCAACTTTCTATGGCTTGTTGTAGAAATTGTGATATTTGGGAGATTATTTCCTTTTCAAATAACTGAAAGTGAGCGGTTGTAATCTGAATAAAGGGAAAAAAGCCATTCTTGAACATTGGGTGAGACAATCTTACTAATTTGCTAGTGAACCAGTTCGGATTTAAGTATAACTTTTGTATGACTGAAGCTTTTAGTGATAGGTCTAATGCTTTAATATTTAATAATTTCTGTCCTCTGAATTCATATTCATTATATAAATAGGCCCGTTTAATTTTGTCTGGCTTGCCGTTCCAAATAAAATGGAATATATTTTTCTCATATAATTTAAAAAAACTGTTCGCTAGGCGTAGGCAAGACCATAAGCAAATAGGTAAACTGGGATAATACTAAAGAGTTAATCAGGGTGATTTTTCCACAAATTGACAGGTATTTACCTTTCCATGGTAGCAAGATCTTATCTATTTTTGCTAACTTTCTATTAACATTTATTGGAGTAGGATCATTTATTTAATTTGGGATATGTATTCCGAGTATATCCACATCACCATCAGACCATTTTATTGGTAAACTACATGGTAATGAATGTAAAAATTGTATTTTTTAGTGATCCAATACATAATATAGCACATTTATCATAATTTGGTTGTAATCCAGAGAGGTTAAAAAAATGTATCTAGATCCTCTATGAGGCTGTGGAGGGATTCAAGTTGTGGATTTAAAAGAAAACATGTTTGCAGATGTATTAAAAATAAAAAACAGATATACCTTAGCTATGAGACTCGAAATTGATCCTGTTTCCATTGATCATCCTTGAGATGTTTCTACAACTTGATTGGAGTCCACCTGTCGTAAATTCAATTGATTGGACATGATTTGGAAAGGCAAACACCTGTCTATATAAGGTCCCACAGTTGACAGTGCATGTCAGAGCAAAAACCAAGCCATGAGGTCAAAGGAATTGTCAATAGAGCTATGAGACAGGATTGTGTCGAGGCACAGATCTGGGGAAGAGTACCAAAACATTTCTGCAGCATTGAAGGTCCCCAAGAACACAGTGGCCTACATAATTCTTAAATAGAAGAAGTTTGGAACCACCAAGACTCTTCTTAGAGCTGGCCGCCCAGCCAAACTGAGTCAGGGAGATGACCAAGAACCCGATGGTCACTCTGACAGAGCTCCAGAGTTCCTCTGTGGAGATGGGAGAACCTTCCAGAAGGACAACAATGAATCATGATGGTGGCAGCATCATGCTGTGGGGATGTTTTTCAGCGGCAGGGACTGGGAGACTAGCCTGGATCAAGGGAAAGATGAATGGAGCAAAGTACAGAGCTCCTTGATGAAAACCTGCTCCAGAGCGCTCAGGACCTCAGACTGCGGCGAAGGTTTACCTTCCAACAGGACAATGACCCTAAGCACACAGCCAAGACAACGCAGGAGTGGCTTCGGGACAAATCTCTGAATGTCGATGAGTGGCCCAGCCAGAGCCCGGACTTGAACCCGATCGAACATCTCTGGAGAGACCTGAAAATAGCTGCGCAACGACGCTCCCCATCCAACCTGACAGAGCTTGAGAGGATCTGCAGAGATGAATGGAAGAAACTCCCCAAATACAGGTAGCATCATACCCAAGAAGACTCAAGGCTGTAATCGCTGCCAAAGGTGCTTCAACAAAGTACTGAGTAAAAAGGGTCTGTAAATGTCATATTTCCGGTTTTTAAAAACCTGTTTTTGCTTTGTCATTATGGGGTATTGTGTGTAGATTGATGAGGGGGAAAAAACTGTTTAATTCACATTTGAAGCCTAAATCAAAAATTTGATTTTCCAAAAGGTAACAATCTTTATTCAAAAATATCAAAACACAGTCAACTTGATAATTTACATTCTTACAAACCATGAAAAAACCTGCTGAACCTGTTCAAACTTACCACCTGAAAATTACTTACGGACTGGCTGTTTACTAGCTCAATAACAATATGTTCATCCATTATTTTTCAGCAGGATCAAGCCATTAGACAGTCAAGGTGGGTAAACCACATCAAGAGTTAGTGCATGTCAGTCTGTCTGTTTACTATCGCACTCTTTCTCAAATTCGTGGGTTTAGAGAGAAGCACTTCTCCATGCCTGTCGGATCTGTTTCCATGGAGTCCCGAGAATGGAGGCAGCGATGAAGAAAAACACCAGGATGAGGCCCTTGGCCAGAGACAGGGAGTACGACTCACCTGGAGGTAGAGGGGTGAAGGGAAAGAGTTCATCCTACTGTCATCATCCATTTAGCATATTTGAATAGTCACATTTTGGGACAGCAGAGAGTCTCACCTGTATAATACCTGGTGAGGGGGAAGGCAAGCTGGGGCCAGCACACATCGTTCCTGTCGCAGTCATACTCTGTAAAGTTAATCTGAAACCTGAAGGACGCAAGGGCAGAACCACATCAGAGGTTTTATTCACTGCACTTACCAACAGTTCAACGTAGTCATGAAACCTTATACTGAGGCTGTATTTAAATTATCAGGGCTTTAGCCTTTCAGGGTTCACCTGGTTTTGGGTGGTCCTGTGTTGATTGGGATATCAGTGAAGGTGATGGAGGAGGTGACAGGGAAAGTCTGAGTCCCAGTCGGCTCCAGACAGGGGTCACCCCCTCCACACTCAAACTTCCAAGTGGACATATGGTCACTGTGGAGAGGCAACACTCACATCAGAGACAGTACAGTCATGGTCAAAAGTTTTGAGAACGACACAAATACTAATTTTCACAAAGTCTGCTGCCTCAGTTTTGATGATGGCAATTTGCATATACTCCAGAATGTCATGACGAGTGATCAAATGAATTGCAATTAATTGCAAAGTCCCTCTTTGCCATGAAAATGAACTTAATCCCAAAAAAACATTTCCACTGCATTTCAGCCCTGCCACAAAAGGACCAGCTGCCATCATGTCAGTGATTCTCTCGTTAAGGCTGGAGATCACTCTGTCATGCTGATTGAGTTAGAATAACAGACTGGAAGCTTTAAAAGGAGGGTGGTGCTTGAAATCATTGTTCTTCCTCTGTTAACCATGGTTACCTGCAAGGAAACACGTGCCGTCATCATTGCTTTGCACAAAAAGGGCTTCACAGGCAAGGATATTGCTGCTAGTAAGATTGCACCTAAATCAACCTTTTATCGGATCATCAAGAACTTCAAGGAGAGAGGTTCAATTGTTGTGAAGAAGGCGTCGGGGCGCCCAAAAAAGTCCAGCAAGCGCCAGGACGTCTCCTAAAGTTGATTCAACTGCGGGATTGGGGCACCACCAGTGCAGAGCTTGCTCAGGTATGGCAGCAGGCAGGTGTGAGTGCATCTGCACGCACAGTGAGGCGAAGACTTTTGGAGGATGGCCTGGTGTCAAGAAGGGCAGCAAAGAAGCCACTTCTCTCCAGGAAAAACATCAGGGACAAACTGATATTCTGCAAAAGGTACAGGGATTGGACTGCTGAGGACTGGGGTAAAGTCATTTTCTCTGATGAATCCCCTTTCCGATTGTTTGGGGCATCCGGAAAACACCTTGTCCGGAGAAGACAAGGTGAGCGCTACCATCAGTCCTGTGTCATGCCAACAGTAAAGCATCCTGAGACCATTCACGTGTGGGGTTGCTTCTCAGCCAAGGGAGTGGGCTCACTCACAATTTTGCCTAAGAACACAGCCATGAATAAAGAATGGTACCAACACATCCTCCGAGAGCAACTTCTCCCAACCATCCAAGAACAGTTTGGTGACGACCAATGCCTTTTCCAGCATGATGGAGCACCTTGCCATAAGGCAAAAGTGATAACTAAGTGGCTCGGGGAACAAAACATCGAAATGTTGGGTCCATGGCCAGGACACTCCCCAGACCTTAATCCCATTGAGAACTTGTGGTCGATCCTCAAGAGGCGGGTGGACAAACAAAAACCCACAAATTCGGACAAACTCCAAGCATTGATTATGCAAGAATGGGCTGCCATCAGTCAGGATGTGGCCCAGAAGTTAATTGACAGCATGCCAGGGCAGATTGCAGAGGTCTTGAAAAACTTCATGTAATTGTCAATAAAAGCCTTTGACACTTATGGAATGCTTGTAATTATACTTCAGTATACCATAGTAACATCTGACAAAAATATCTCATAACACTGAAGCAGCGAACTTTGTGAAGACCAATACTTGTGTCATTCTCAAAACTTTTGACCACGACTGTAGACTAAACAAGGAGGACTTTATTCAATCACACATCCAATCAATGCATAGTAATTGGCCCTACCGGAGTATGAACAGAAGGTCAGCACAGACAGAAAGGAAAGATGGGTGTGATGGCAATGGACAGTGTTGTAGGCTGTTGCCACTTACCTGACTTCCACTGCTTGTATCTCCCGCTGAGGCAACCCCCCCACCACCTCTGCCAGAATGCTCCTAACATGGATGTGCCGGTGGGAGGGAATCCCAGAACATATGCCAATACCACCCCCGACAGACTGGCTGGAGTTCAGTTTCACAACTGTTGGTTATTCAGTGTGTTGGACACAGAAGAATAATTGAAGAAAGCAACAAAGCCAAAATAATGAATTAACAGGGTGAATATTTTGGCTAATATTTAAATTAATTGAACAGTTAAAGTTTGAAAGGTTTGTCCTCACAGCTAATGTTCAACCAGTCAGCCAGGTTCAGGAAATCTGGGTCTCCATTCCTTGCTATGTGTGTTGCTGTGCTCAGTGCCATCTGAAGAGAGGCCACATTCTGCCTAGCAGAGGAAAAAAGAAAAAAGGAGGTCAAACATTTTACAGGGAGACATGGATCCTTTCCATTTGCATGCATGCAGCTGTAATTTTATCAACTCCAGCAATGCTATTTATCTGTGTGTGTTTCAAGTTTCAACGTTTTATTGTCACATGCACAGGATACAGTAGGTATAAAACAGTACGGGGCACACTCTTTTCACACAACTTCGATACAAAGTGATTTTTGTAGCAGGTTAGGAGAGCATTTTCGCTAACCCTAACCCTTTTCCTAACCTTAACCTCAGTCTCCTAACCTGCTACATTAATTCTCCTAACCTGCTACAAAAAAGTAACTTCGGTATCGAAGTGGCGTGAAAATAGTTTTTTGTGTATCCTGTGACATACCTGAGCAGGCTACACTGGGTCAGGCTCTGTAGGCTCACAGGTAACAGACATCCTGCAGTTGAGTTCTCCCCAAACAGTACTGGCCTCCTCTCAGCAGAGTCACATAGTCCACTGCTTACTGAAGACAGAAATAGAAAAACATGAATACACATACACTAACAGGCCACAAGCCATCCAACAGTGCTCTACAACACCTGTAACTGCTGGTTCTCACAATAGTCTAATCGAAGTGCCTAAGCAAAACATTTTTATATATTTCTGATGTGTAGAGTTAGATAATTGACACCTTTCAAAGCTGTTGATTTTCCAGTGCACTATCCATGGTACAAAGACGACCGTTACCTGGCTTCCTAAGATTGACTGGGGTCCTTTGTATGACTGTGCCATTCTCCAAGGTGTCCACAATCCCACCAATCACAGGCCTGCCCACTTGGTAACCTGAGAGATCACACAAAGCTTTGTCTGTAAATCAGTGAAACTAGTCTCATCTTTTTATGTTGCACATTAAGATCCCCATTATGAAACGCTTATAAAAAGTGTATTAGGTTGCACAAACCTGGGTTCCCTGAGTTGGGCTGAGCTAAAGCATCTCCATTCAGAAACACAACTGAATACCTGGCTGTCAAAGCCACTGTGAGAGGAAGAGAAACTACAAACACATAAAAGCAGAACAATTTAGGTGTTAATCATTGACAAACAACGTCAGCGTTGATAATGATAATTAATGATACTACAAATACCCAGTAATGCCCAGCAGGTAAAAACTAAAAGAAAGAGGCCCTTACCACTAGCAGAAAAGATATTCCCAAGTATGCGGGTTAGTGTGATATTTGTCAGGCCGTTCCCTCTCCAGAAGAATTTGTAATCCAAGGCCAAGGTCACATTTTCACACAGCAGTCTGCCATCTTCAGCCACAGGACTCGCGACAAAGGGGCTCAGATCAACAGCCATTTTATCCGTGACATCCACTGTGACCACACCTGAAATGTTTCCCCAATGAGCACACAAAAACTAAAGCAAATCAATCAGAAAAATAACAAATGGTCAAGTTGAAAAAGTAAGTAATTATTCTGATCATGGGGAGAGAGACGTACCCCCTTGGCCATCCCTCACTTGCACCCTCAGCTCAGTTGATGTCGTCTGTAAGGGGGGTTCAGTTGGGCAGGACAGGAGATGGGTCACACACTGCGCTTGGAAGTTTTTCAAAAATGCCACAGGGGCATTATCTACACACTGGCCAACCAGGGAGTTCTGAGGAATTAAGACATCAATTAGACATATCAGATGGCATAGAAGACCAAAACAGTTACTTTGAGCCTGAGAGAGTTCTGACTGTCCATTTACAAACACATACAGTTTATACACAGAGAGGGAGAATCAGACACACACAAGGCTAACCTGAGGAATGGTGAAATACTGATCACTCATGGTAAAAATGGGATCCCCCTGCTGGTAGATATTGGTGGGCAGTGGAGCTGACAGCACTGGCCTTTGGAAAGATGGCCTGGGCTTTGGTGTGCTGGAGCAGGTACAGAAGAAGGCACAACACATATTAGGTCAAGCCAATGAAAATGCAGTAAGGGAGATATAGCAAACACAAGTCTGTTTATGACAACTGGATTTCGATACAAAAATGTCTTGAGGAAATAGACGGTGTCTCACATTGTGTCCCCTTCATAAAAGAGTCCAAGGAAGGGATTGTTTTCAGGCAGGGAGATGACGCAGAGAAATGGAAACCAATCGGGGGCATTTTTAGCAGACTGTGCAATGCACAGGTAATCAGGAACTGGAGAAACTTCCCCTCCAAAGGGCCCCGAAAGACACTGGCCCTGAAACAACTTCAGGGCTTCAGGGGAACAGTCCTGGGGGAGACACATGACAGAAACAAAATGTCTACTCTAGCCACGGAGCAAGCGGATTAGTATGTGTAACAATGGATGTAAATACCTTGTCACAGCAGCAGCGCACATCACAGGCTCCCACAGTTAGGTCACAGGGACAGGAGCCCAGGGGCCGGTACACTTGGTTGGGAATTACTGTTTTGTTGTCTGACAAAAATGTAAAAGCATAATTAAAAAGGGGGACAACCAGACAAACAATTGAAATAAGTACTACAATATCCCTTGGCTTGACCAAAGATACCTACTCTAAAAAGAGCCAGACTTACCAGACACAGGTTCAGTGGGAAACACCTGGGCATAGATCCTAGCCTGGATTAGCAGTGAGGCCTGAGGTGTGTTCCCCAGACAGGCAGACACACGTAGAGTCTCCAGCACACACAGTGGCTCAGGACAGCAGTCTGTGTCATTATTATTATCACACAGGAGCAGGCTGCGGTTCAGACTCAACTGCACTTGCACTGTAGTCTGAGACACAGGGAAAGAGAGAGGTTGCAGGGAGACAGAAATTAGGTGGTGAGAGTAATTTCCATGAAGAAAGTTCTGAATGGTGTCAATCGTTTAGTGTTTTTGTGTGTAGACAATACTATTTGGTTGCTAAAAAAATATTTTATGACTACTTTAAGCCATGAAAAATCAGCCCACTTGTGTGGTATGTGCTGCTGCTAAAAGGACAGCTCTGTTACTTGGCCAGGAAGAGGTAGCAGTCATTTTAGATAGCAGTGGTCAGGGCGAACTCTGTCTTGCTGAAAAACAGCTCCTGATGAGAACAGTTTGTCACACACTTACCTTGCCCACCAACTCCCGTGTGAGAACCCACTGCGTCTGATCTTCTGAGCATGATGGGGGTGGAAGGCGACCTGTCAAAATGAATCCACAAAATGCATGTTATTGCTTACAAAACCCATGCCATGGACAGTGACAAGTGCTCATTGACAACACCATGTAAGTAGCTAATTTACCTGAGGAACTGGAGGGCGATAGAGAGCTCAGGATCAGGGATATGCCAGATGAGTTTCCAAGCAAGAAAGCCGACAATCTAGGTCCAGATGTGACGAGATACGACGGCTGAAAAACTAGAAAAGGGATTGATTGGTGTTAGCCAGGTACCTAGCTAACGTTAGCTTTACGGCAACACATCAAGTTAGTTGATTGATTGATGGAAACATTCTAAGAGTTGAATGACTTACCGACATTGCTCTTTGTATCTATAATCAAAACAATCAGAAGAATGTATGCACATCGACATAAAACAGGGGCAGAAAGTATTTTAGCCATCGCTGAAAATATCGGTTCACAATGGAGTCGCCATTTTGCAAAGTGTTGTAGAGATGTCTAGCTATGGCAACGACATATCAACCAATCACAGTTTAGGGGATTACTTGCTCTCTCATGCTCCAGAGAGGGCATGCTACCGTTCAGACAGTCAACAGCGACGCTCGTGGAGCCGAGTGTGTACTATAGAAACAGACAGACAATCATGCAACTGTTATAGAAAGTTAACTTCTTGAAGCCAAGTTGCAACATGCAACACTTACCATGTCACACACTTACCTTGCCCACCAACTCCCGTGTGAGAACCCACTGCGTCAGATCTTCTGAGCATGATGGGGGTGGAAGGCGATGGAAGGCGATAAATATATCCATACAAATATATGATGGGGGTGGAAGACGATAAATATATTTATTTATTTAACCTTTATTTAACTAGGCAAGTGAGTTAAGAACAAATTCTTATTTACAATGACGGCCTACCAAAAGGCAAAAGGCCTCCTGCGGGGACGGGGGCTGGGATTTTTAAAAAAAAAATATACATATAGGACAAAACACCACAACACTACATAAAGAGAGACCTAAGACAACAACACATGACGGTAGCATCACAACATTATTATAATTTTTTTGTCATACAGTTAGTGAGTGCATACATTTTCATACTGGCCCCCCGTGGGAATCGAACCCACAACCCTGGCGTTGAAAATGCCATGCTCTACCAACTGAAATCCAACGAAGCCAACAAGCTATCGGCCAATAGCTTTAACATCACATGTATGTAAGATTATGGAACGTATGATTACGGAGAGGCTAACTTACTTCCTGGAGAGCAGAGGGCTAGTAACGCCATATCAGAGTGGGTTCAGGAAGGGTAGGGGAACTATGGATCCAGTGCTCTGCTTAGAAGCAGAGGTCAAGAAGGCTCAGGTGAACAAGGAAACTGTTGTAGCTGTCTTTTTTGATGTGGAGAAGGCGTATGATATTATGTGGAAGGAGGGGTTGTTAATCAAGCTTGATATCATGGGGGTAGGAGGAAGAATGTACAACTGGATAAAGGACTTCCTGTTTGGAAGGTCTATCCAGGTGAGGGTGGGGAAGTCTTTATCAGGCAGCTACTTGGTGGATAATGGTACACCGCAGGGGAGCGTGATTAGTCCTCTGTTGTTCTCAATCATGGTCAATGATGTTTACTCTCAGGTACAGCCAGATATAGGGAGATCGTTATTTGCAGGTGATGGGGCCTTATGGAAGAGGGGAAGAAATGTGCCATACATAGTCAGGAAGGTACAGGAAGCAATTGATGAGGTAGAGCGGTGGGCATTAATGTGGGGATTCAGGTTCTCTGTAGAGAAAACTCAAACAGTGTTCTTTACCAGGAGGAAGGTGGGAGATGAGGTATGCTTGAGGTTATATGGGAGAAACTTGGAGAGGGTGGGGGCCTTCAGGTTCCTTGGGGTATACTTTGATACTAGACTGACCTGGGCAGAACACATTGAGAGAGTGGTGGGAAAGTGTAAGAAGGTGCTAAATGTGATGCGCTGTCTGACGGGGAAGGAGTGGGGGGCTGGGCGTTCCTCATTGAAGACCATGTATGTTGCATTGATCCGATCTGTAATAGACTATGGAAGTATAGCATATGGTTCGGCAGCCCGGACCTCACTGGAAAGGCTAGATGTCATACAGGGGCAAGGACTCAGAATATGTAGTGGGGCGTTTCGGATGTCCCCAGTGGCTGCATTACAGGTGGAGATGGGGGATATGCCGTTGCAGATTAGGAGACAGCAGCTGGCAATGAATTATTGGGTCAACCTACAGGGACATGGGGTGTCTCATCCTGCGAAAGGGATTTTACAGGCATGCTGGGAACATGAGCGAAGACCGAACACAAGCTTTGGGTAGGTGGGTAATACCCAGGCGAGGAGATGGGACTGTATGGAAGGGAGTTTAGTCCAACGGTAGTTATTGTTGTAAATCCACCATGGCAACACCCGCCTCCAGTAGTTGATCTAGAAGTGTTGGAGAGACTACAGAAAGATAGAGAGGGGGTTGATCCAGCTGATTTCTTTAAGAGGGATTTTGTGGCAATTTACACAGATGGTTCAAAAGATCCAAGGACAGGACGTACTGGGTCAGCATTTGTAGTGCAGGAGTGTGGGGTGGAAGTCAGGAAATGTATTACAGATCATCTGGCTGTATATACGCCGGAGCTGATGGCCATACTGTTGGCCTTGCAGTGGGTGGAGGAAGTTAAGCCAGACAGAATAGTTATTTGCTCTGACTCATGTGCAGTGTTAATGAGTCTCTTTTTAAGAGAAACAGGGTTGGCAGGTAGGATTTAGTTTCTCCCTGTCTCTGGCCCACATTCCAGTACGGTAGGTGGCGGTAATGCACCATAATGTTGGATGCCAACCGCCCATAAACCCCACTGAAGAAGAAGAAGAAGAGGAAGGAAGAGTGTCCTATTTCTTTCCAGGGATAAGTTTAAGACAAAAACCTTAGGAATTAACAAACAATGATGCCTGTTGGATCAGTCGAAGATCAGATGAAAGCTGTACTAGACTGTCTGGTCACTGAGGATAAAATACCCACAGATGTCAGCACTACTTTGAAGCTCTTCATAAACAAACTTGATGAGTGCTCAAGGTAAATCTGGTTGGGAAGTGCCTAATGTGTTTTCTTTGGCAGATGTAGGGAAGCTTGATGCAGTTGTAGGGAAGTGCATGTGTAGCCTCCCTGTATGTGAATGCATGTCCTACTGCTTCTGCCAAGAGATCTGGGCTTTTGGGGCACAGGTGGTATGTGGTAGTGCATTCACCCCCTAACCACAAGGTTGCTGGTTCAAGTTCTGCAGTGACTATTCTCATTCAACCACTATGTTGGTGGCAGCAGTGGTATATTCTCTGAGTGACTGGTTCAAGCTCAACTCCGACTGTTCCTACCATCTTGTTACACATTCATTGTTTACCGTTTGTGTCACTGTCTCATCTTGATGGCATCAGATGTTGTCTGTCTCTGCACAGGAGCAGCATAAAGCGATGCAAATAGCGCAGTCTGGAGGAGGCAGGCCAGCTGCTGAGGAAGATCCCAGAGAAGCAGCCCCAGTGTTTGGAGGAGAAGCACCTCCTGCTACTGATCAGGCTCCTCGTCGCCATGCAGATGTAGATGTTTAACATCTCCATCGCCAGTCGCAAATTAGACCAGGTCCAGAACAAGCTCTGCCCTCTAGAAGTGGGTTAAATTTTTTGTAATAGTATTTTATTTATGATTTTTTCCCACCATTTTCCCCCCGAACCAGATACAAACATACACATACGAAAATCAACTTACAAAATCACACAAGCAACGACTACATCTCATAGCCCAGTCCCGCATGCTCACACCCCCATCCCCTAGTGCCTGCATTATTGCTTGGCACATGGCCTTAAATTGTACCAATTTGTTTTTCTCGGTCGCCCATGCTATTTCAATATTTCAATAATAAATCATTCGATTTTTCCATTGTGATGTTTTCAATGCTGAGTATTAAGTCAATTGCTATCCTGAATATGTGTTTGATCATGTCATTAGATGTTTCAACATCTGGCGAAGGTCAACCGCTTGCTGGTTTTTAGCGAGATCAATCCCTGTTTGTGCATCAGAGTGGAAAATGATCAGGTAGGTATCTATTGTTCTAAAAAGAATCCATGGTTAGAAGTATTCTTTAGCAATGCAGTAATGTTTCAGCAGCTTTCATTTTCAGGCATTATCAATTGGGGGGAGACTACAGTGAGGGAAAAAAGTATTTGATCCCCTGCTGATTTTGTACGTTTGCCCACTGACAAAGAAATGATCAGTCTATAATTTTAATGGTAGGTTTATTTGAACAGTGAGTGACAGAATAACAACAAAAAAATCCAGAAAAACGCATGTCAAAAATGTTATAAATTGATTAGCATTTTAATGAGGGAAATAAGTATTTGACCCCCTCTCAATCAGAAAGATTTCTGGCTCCCAGGTGTCTTTTATACAGGTAACGAGCTGAGATTAGGAGCACACTCTTAAAGGGAGTGATCCTAATCTCAGCTTGTTACCTGTATAAAAGACACCTGTCCACAGAAGCAATCAATCAATCAGATTCCAAACTCTCCACCATGGCCAAGACCAAAGAGCTCTCCAAGGATGTCAGGGACAAGATTGTAGACCTACACAAGGCTGGAATGGGCTACAAGACCATCGCGAAGCAGCTTGGTGAGAAGGTGACAACAGTTGGTGCGATTATTCACAAATGGAAGAAACACAAAAGAACTGTCAATCTCCCTCTGCCTGGGGCTCCATGCAAGATCTCACCCCTTGGAGTTGCAATGATCATGAGAACAGTAAGGAATCAGCCCAGAACTACACAGGAGGATCTTGTCAATGATCTCAAGGCAGCTGGGACCATAGTCACCAAGGAAACAATTGGTAACATACTATGCCGTGAAGGACTGAAATCCTGCAGCGCCCGCAAGGTCCCCCTGCTCAAGAAAGCATGTATACAGGCCCGTCTGAAGTTTGCCAATGAACATCTGAATGATTCAGAGGAGAACTGGGTGAAAGTGTTGTGGTCAGATGAGACCAAAATCGAGCTCTTTGGCATCAACTCAACTCGACCGTGTTTGGAGGAGGAGGAATGCTGCCTATGACCCCAATAACACCATCCCCACCGTCAAACATGGAGGTGGAAACATTATGCTTTGGGGGTGTTTTTCTGCTAAGGGGACAGGACAACTTCACCACATCAAAGTGACGATGGACAGGGCCATGTACCGTAAAATCTAGGGTGAGAACCTCCTTCCCTCAGCCAGGGCATTGAAAATGGGTCGTGGATGGGTATTCCAGCATGACAATGATCCAAAACACACGGCCAAGGCAACAAAGGAGTGGCTCAAGAAGAAGCACATTAAGGTCCTGGAGTGGCCTAGCCAGTCTCCAGACCTTAATCCCATAGAAAATCTGTGGAGGGAGCTGAAGGTTTGATTTGTCAAACGTCAGGCTCGAAACCTTAATGACTTGGAGAAG